AGGAAGAAGTTCCCCCCAGTAAGTGAGGGCCTAGGGAGGATGGTGCTGGGTCTGGGCATCTGGCACCAGGGGCCATTCTGGAGGCAGGGGCATCCCCCCGAGATGAAAGCCATCCTTGGGATCGAGGGCCTTGGACCTCATGTGGGGCTCCTGAGCAGTGTGGAAATCTGTTGGTTGATGATTTACCCCAGAGGGGAAGGGAAGCAGGGATGGGGAGTACAGTGGGCTTCCGTCTACACTGAGCCCCTGATGAAGTTCCCACCGTAGTACTGGGGACTGGAATTCTTGCCCTGAGACATCAAAATCAGTCTCCATTTCAGCCTTTGCTACTTTCTCTTGGCAGAAGGAAATTAGGATAACAAAGTTAATCAAATGCATGAATTCATGGCAATAAAACATCTTCCCTTCTGGGGTCCATGGTCCCAGATGGCACAAAATGTGGTTCCCCCACCCAAATGCCTCCGAGTGGTGTCTGCCCCTCACCGGGCCTGCCTGAGATGCACCTGCCAATCATGTCGAGACTGAGATTGCCCATTGTGGCATCTCCCTAAAGAGGCTGCAAGCTGGTGCACGTGAAGAGAAGAAATGGCTGAGCATGGAGCTCGCTCTATGTGGAATATCGGATTTTGTTCTTTCTTTGTTTAAAAGCCATTGATGGCTGCTGTTTGCTGGAGATGAAGCTCCAATGTTGTTTGCAGGATGTTCAGGGAGCCTCAGATCTGCCCCAGGCTCTGTCTCCAGCTTATTCATCTCTCCTTTCACCTTACCCTGGATTCCCCTCCCGCCCCAACGTCTGCACTCACACACCCGAATCCTGCGGGCTGCTCCTCCAGGTCCATTTCCCTCATTGCTAAGCAGATGCTTTTGCAGTTTCCTGTCCTGTAAAACACACACCGACTCCCACCCCTGCCCAGTTCCTCAGCTTGGTAACAAACCTTCTCAGCCTTTAAGCTGTTACTAAATGGTGTAAATTTAGTAATACCTGCCTCAGCTCCATAGCCAGAATCAACCATACCCTTGTTGGGGCCTCTGTGGGTAATCTGACCTATTGTGAGATGATGAGAGGCTGTCTCCCCTTTTCCATTTTCTATTTATTGAGAACAGGATTCTCATCACATTTTTTCAGCACAGCCCCAAATGCAGCCCTCGTAGGCGCTCTGTGAATGGACGTGGAATCAAAGAAACTTCGGAGACACAAAGAAAATCCTCTTTTTTATTTTCTGCAACCCTAATTCTTGCTGGTCTTAACCTTACAGGATAATTCAGCCCCCTATGGTGCCCGGTACGTGGGCTCCATGGTGGCTGATGTTCACCGCACTCTGGTCTACGGAGGGATATTTCTGTACCCCGCTAACAAGAAGAGCCCCAACGGAAAGGTAAGTGTGTCCCCTGGAGAGGAAATGAGGAGCAGATTTCACTTGCAGCCCATGCGATTTGGTTTAGGAAGAAGAAAGGTTTTGCTAGTGGTTACGCTCCTTGGTAGGTCACTAAGGGTGTCTGTAGCATATTCTTGTATGGATTAAAGATAAAGCCAGATGATATCAACTAAAGATAAAAATAGTCTTGAGAGCCCTTCTAGTGCTGTGGCAAAAGGGAATTAATGGTCAGGATGGACTAAAAGTCCTTAGGGCTTCCAGTGGGTACATGGCTTGGCTTGGGCAAAATGAATTCCACTCATAAAGTGAAAGGAAACAAGCCAGCCTCACTTCCAAGGCAGCAAATCAAATATGTCTTCCCAATAGAAGTCTTTGATTGCTTTCAAAAGGTGTAAAACAGAGGTAACTAGTGAGTCAACATCTCCTACTTGGAAAATGTTACCTTTCAGAGGAAGAAAGACTCTCTGGGGAAACCTAGGGCTTTCGGGTGACCCATCACCACCGACCCACCAGTCCAAGCCCACAGTGTTCTCGGCAGGCTGGAGGGTGGCTGCGCTCCCCCACGCTGGCTCAGAGCCGCCCTGGCTTTCCTTCTGCCAGGGTGACAGTGCGCTTCCTTCCCAAGTATTGTGTCCTCCTTATGTTTTCCCAGTGGAGAGATGGCTTTTTTTTTTTTTTTTTTTTTTTTTTTTTTTGACAGAGTCTTACTCTGTTACCCAGGCTGGAGTGCAGTGGTGCGATCTCAGTTCACTGCAACCTCCGCCTCCCGGGTTCAAGTGATTCTCCTGCCTCAGCCTCCCAAGTAGCTGGGATTACAGGTGCCCACCACCACACCCAGCTACTTTTTATATTTTTAGTAGAGACGGGATTTCACCACGTTGTCCTGAACTCCTGACTTCAAGTGATCCACCCGCCTTAGCCTCCCAAAGTGCTGGTATCAACAGGTGTGAGCCACCACGCCCAGCTGCCTTTTTATTTTTATTTTTTTTAATGCAAGAGAACAGGAACAACAATCCCCTTAAACTCGTTGGAAACCTGTGTACCTGGATGTATTCAGGTCTGTCTGCAGCATGTGGCATCTGGAGTGAAGGTGTTTCTATTTACTGAAAACATTACCCAGCTGTAGCTGCCTCAGGCATCTCAACCTGTGTGGTTAGCCTGCTTTCCAGAACTTTTCTCTAAAGCTCCCCAAATTGTTCCTGAACACAAATATTGAGGCTCCTGTATTTTTTTTTTTTTCAGTTTTTCAAAAGTAGCCATGACACCTATATGGAAATGAGTCGGGAAACACCTGCAGAAGGCTGTGGCTCAGTAGGCAGACTGCATGGAAAGGCATGCGGTACAAAGTTAATATGCAAAAGTCTCTGCCAGGATATAGAATACACTGAATTTCAACCCACAAGCCTTCGGAGAATCGTAAAAGGAATGCATGCCGAGTTGCAAACAATATCGCACTGTTTGGACGAGCCAGTCTGCTTTCCAGATGTCTGTAGCCAGACACCACCATGGATTTATTGAATGCATTTAGAATAGGCGAAGCTCCATCCAACACACACACAGTCACTCATTAAGTCCAGTTTCCATAATATAAAGAGAAGGCAGTGCTGCCTTCTGCCAAAATGTCATTCTGTCCAGTATGCAGGTGGTCTGTCTCACATTTGCATCAGGTAATCTATCGCTGGTCCTGGCTTGACAAATGGTTGAATTTAACCAGATGGTTCACTGTTTGGTCTCAGATGCAACCTGAGGTCAGGGGGAGCTTTTACAGCTTCACAGGAAGGAAAAAGAGAGGATCCATTCCCTGGGAATCTCCCACCAGCTCTTCACATTTTGCTGCAGAAAAGCCTTTTTTTAATGCAATCCCTTCTGGTACGAGGAGGCCTCTCTCTGGTCTTGTTTTCCAGCTGAGACTGCTGTATGAATGCAACCCCATGGCCTACGTCATGGAGAAGGCTGGGGGAATGGCCACCACCGGGAAGGAGGCCGTGTTAGACGTCATTCCCACAGACATCCACCAGAGGGCGCCGATAGTCTTGGGGTCTCCGGACGACGTGCTGGAGTTCCTGCAGGTGTGCAAGAAGCACTCTGCCCAGTGAACACCTGCCCTGCCCGCGTCCCGGAGAATGGCCTCTACCTGGACCGTTTGTCTCCCACAGCAGCACCCCGACCTGCTGTGCACCTCACATTCCTAGATAGCAGAAATAAAACGCACGGCTATTTTCACCATCAGATGCTGTAGAATGCTTGGCACTCCCTAATCAAAATACTGTCTCCGACACGCCACTGGTGGCGACATGTATTTAGAGTGGATGGAGGAGAAATAAACTTATTTCTCCTTTTAAAGAAGTCTTCATTGCTTTGTGTCCAGTGATGACGACGATGACTGCTGATGCGTATAACGTCAGATAGCTCAGGTAGTCTTCACAACAACCCAGGGAATCAGAAACTCTGAATAATCCATTTTATAGATGACAGAATGGACGAGGAGAGGTGAAGTAGCTGGCTCAAGGCTTCCGGCCAATGAGTGGCAGAGCGGGGACCTGAGTGCAGGCAGTCTGGCCACTGGGAGCCAGCATACGGCTTTCCCTGCATGTTGTCCCATTCAGGCCTGGCCCCTTGTTCCTCAGCCTTGTTCAGGATTGCAGCTGAGGAACAACGTAGCCTGAACATGGTGGCTCATGCCCTCCTAGAAATGGGGGAGCTGATGGCTTACTGGTGGTACCTGCGTGTGGCCCCCTGGCCTCCCAAGCACGGATGTAACCGCCTGAGTCGCAAATCAAGGTTTACTTGTTACCAAGTGACAATTTTTTCTATAAAAGCACAGCACTTTACTCCCCTCACAAAGCCTAATACCCCCTACAGTCTGGTTACCATAGATAAAGGATTCACTACAAGGACAGGGTTGAAGGAAATGCAATTTGTTGCAAGCGGGCTTCTCACTAAACTCTCTATAGACATGGTTTCTCCCTCCACTGACCCTGGTCTTACCGGACCAGAGTCCAGGATTGTGGCAAGCTCTCTCAGGTGCTAGGTAACACCTAAGTGGCCCTTCTCGAGCACTGGATTTAAAATAGATCTGTCCATAGAATTCCACTTGGGAACTAAAAACAGGTGTCTGTGTCAATCCTGCTCCTTCGCCTTCAAACACTCCCCATTCAGTCCACATTCTCTCAGCAGGAAACTGTGTGATTTTCAGCACTGGATCGCCTTCTGTCCACTGACCACACCCAACACCAGTATTTCCCCACTCCAGCTGGGGCTGCCCTCTGGAAAGTCCCCTGATGCACAAAGCACATTTTGAGTTTGAAACTTTTTGTAACTCAGCTGGCATCTGGTTCTCAAAGCATGGAGGGAGAGACCTGTGGTCTGGGAGTCTTTTCCTGCCTTTTTTTTTTTTTTTTTTTTTTTTTTTTGAGATGGAGTCTCTGTCCTCCAGCTTGGAATGCGGTGGCCCGATCTCGGCTCACTGCAACCTCTACCTCCCAGGTTCAAGCAACTCTCCTGCCCCAGCCTCCCGAGGAGCTGAGATTACAGGCATGCACCACCACGCCTGGCTAATTTTTGTATTTTTAGTAGAGATGGTGTTTCACCATGTTGACCAGGCTGGTCTTGAACTCCTGACCTCAAGTGATCTGCCCGCCTCAGCCTCCCAAAGTGCTGGGATTACAGGCATGAGCCAATCCACCTGACCCTTTTCTGCTATTGAGATGGCACAGTGCTGTTTCCCTACAGCATTCTTAGAGGTTCTGTAGTCTCACATACTTGACCTGAAAGTCACATTCTAAGTCTTCTAAGCAAATCTACAGAGGAGCTGCTCCACCATGGCACGCTTGCTGCTCAGTCCTTTGTCAAAGGTTAGGAAAGCGTCTGCCCAGCTCGACTGGAGGCATCTGACTCCCTGGCCTCGCCACCATGGCAGGCTAGCAATAGCACGTGCCACCGGGCATTTGATGGAACTCCCTGTGACCAGGAGGGAGGTCAAAGTTCACCTGAGCATCACTGGTTCCCAGAGTTTCCCACTGTGGCCTAGTCCTCATGTCCAGAATTGGGAGGAGTTCAAGATGCCTTTGGTGGGCTGAATGGTATTTCCCCAAAAGACTCGTCCATGTGCAAACCCTGGAACCTGTGAATGTGACCCCCATTTAGAATGAGGGTCTTTGCAGATCTAACTAAAGTAAGAATTAAGATGAGATCAGCCTCGATTGCCTACATTAGGGTGGACCGTCCTCTGATGCCATGCATCTTTGTGCAGGTTCATGATGTGGCAGGAGCCTGGAGGAGCTGCTGCCCTGCCTGCGTGAGCCTGGAACGGGAGGGAGAAACAAACCTTTGCTGCATTAAGCCATGGGGATTTCAGGTTTATTCGCTGCTGCACCATAACGTAGGCTATGCTGACTAGGCTTGGCCGAGCTTGGTAACATTTCCAACCTCTCTGAGTCTCCCTTTCTTCATTTGCAAAATGTTGATTGTCGTATCTATTGTAGTTAAGGTCATTTTCACTGTAGGTAGCAGACACTTATTTATTCTGACTAAGGCAGAAAGGGAATTTTTTGGAAAGCTTCAGGGGACTCTCCTGAACCCCAGCACCCACTGCTTTCCTAATCCCGAAGACACATCCCTCGTCCCAGCACGGCCATCCAGTCCACTCTATCTCCACGTCTCACACCAAGTTCCCCGGAGGAAAAAACTGACTGTCTTAGCTTGTGTCCAGTTAGCTGCAGCCGTAGACCAGGGTCACATAAGACAAACGTGGCCTTGGGTTTTCTTCTTACGGGCAGGGCACACTTCTCTCTAAGATGGGGATCATGGGCTGAGCAGATATCCCAAAGGGTCTGCCATGCTGGAAGCAGAAATGCTGAGGTTTCATGCAAGAGCATTTGCTGGGGTCACTTGAGGGAGTGCATGGAAAGCATCCTGGCAGAGTTTTGCTAACAGAGAATATGCCCTCAGCTAGTCCTCTACAGTCAAAGCCCAGATCCTAGCCTTCAGGTGGAGGCCCCACCTGCGAACTGCCCTAAGACTGCCTTACTGTTCAGAGACTCTGTCCTCACTCCTTCCATGCAGGCCTGCAAGAACCCTTTGCCAAGAAGAGCGAGCCCATAAATAGCTTTGGATGCATCAGTGACACTGAAAAAGCTGTGAGCTGGACCCTGCCCCCACTTCCTCTGGGCCTTCTAGACGCCCTATGTGTCTGGGCTGTTCTGTGCCCTGAAAGAACTTTGGCATTTGTTGAAAGGTCACCAGTTGCAATTTCAGACCATGTAGGTAACTCGAACTTCTAACATTTAAATGTAGCTGGAAGAGGCGTGACAGCTGCACAGGCGCCAGCCTGGGCTGGAGGGAGGCAGAAATAGCAGGCGCTCCCTTGGATCCCTTTATGGAGTGAGCTGACTTATAAATGACGCTGGCTAATTCCCCTCCCTCCTGATCCCCAAATTATTCAGGCTTCTGCTTGTCCTTGACACCCACCGTGCCGGGCAACCAGGGCCTCTCAAGAGATCCATGCAAAGCACTGGCTTGCTTGTTTCACTTCCAATCTGTCATGAACAGATATGTTAATAAAACATGATAAAAAGAATTACAGGAGGGGCCGATAAACACACGCTGAATATCATTAATCATGAGGACGATGCAACTCTAAGCCACAGTGAGAAACCACTTCACACCCATGAGGATGGCTACTATAAGAACAAACAAACAGGCCGGGCGCGGTGGCTCAAGCCTGTAATCCCAGCACTTTGGGAGGCCGAGGCGGGTGGATCACGAGGTCAAGAGATCAAGACCGTCCTGGTCAACGTGGTGAAACCCCATCTCTACTAAAACTACAAAAATTCAGCTGGGCATGGTGGCGTGTGCCTGTAATCCCAGCTACTCAGGAGGCTGAGGCAGGAGAATTGCCTGAACCCGGGAGGCGGAGGTTGCGGTGAGCCGAGATCGCGCCATTGCTCTCCAGCCTCCGTCTCAAAAGAAAAAAAAAAAAAAAAAAAAAAAAAAAAGAACAAACAAACAACACACAACAAGTGCTGGCAAGCAGGTGGGGACCCCAGGACCCCTGCTCACCCTGGGAATGTGAAATGGCGCAGCCACCAAGGAAAATGGTGTAGCAGTTCCTCCAGAAATTAGACATGGAATTACCATATGATCCTGCAGGTCCGCTTCTGGACACAGCCCCAAGAGAATCAAAAGCAGGGCCTTGAACAGCATTATCACACCAGCCCGGAGGTGGAGGCAGCCCACGTGGCCATGAGGGGGATGGATAAACAGACTGTGCTGTGTCCATACCGTGGAGTGCTGCTGAGCCTCAGAGGGGAGGGGACTCTGACCCATGCCACAACATGCCGGGATGGTGAGGACATCGTGCTGAGTGAAATAAGCCAGTCGCAGCAGGACAGAGAGTGTATGTTTCATGTCTATAAGGGGCCTAGGGTAGCCAAATTCATAGAGATGGAGAGCAGAATGGCGGGTGCCAGGGACTAGAGGGGGATGGGAAGTTCTCGTTTAATGGGTACAGAATTTCGGTTTGCAAAATTTGAATTTGGGATTCTGACTGTAATCGGGATCTAGAACTGTTCTGTCATGCGAGACCCCCTTGTCCTGTCCCCTCCCTGTACCCCTATTCCCGTGGCAGCTACTGAGAGTTCTCTGTCCCCACAGGTTTGCATTCTGGAGAGTCCCCTACGAATGGAATCAGACTGTAGATACTGGAGGCTGCTGCTGTCACTCCACACAGTGCCTCTGAGCCCCGCGGCACTAGTGTTTGTGTGTTGTTTAACAGTTTTCCACTGTGCGGCTCTCCCAGTGTGTTCACCCATGCACTGTTGAGCTTTTGGGTGTCTGCAGTTCCCAGTTTAACTAGAGCTGCTGTAAATAGGTGTGTGTGTTTTTGTGTGAATATACATTCTCAGCATTGTTTTGCAACATCACAGGGGAAACCCATTTAATCAGATAACAATGTTAGCTTCAAAAGGAAACGTGAAAACCAATCAACCAGGCCTCCGTCTTCACCCTGAAGTCATTTACTGGCCCGGAACGTGAAGATCCAGCCACTCTCTTTTTGTAATTCTGTCAGGGGAATCATCTCTGCTCTCCCCGTGTGAAAGGCAAAGCTTGTTAATGGCAACATGATGTGTTCGGATCAAGATAAGCTCCATTCTGCTGTTTTCACAATTCCCAGAAGCTCTTGGGAAAGGAAAAGAGTTTTCCAAGTTTGATCCTCATGATGTCAAAATTAAACCGTTCTTACCCAAAAGATGATAGCTCCTGTTATTAGCTTATTATTATTATTAAACTGATACTGAGTGTCGGGGTGAACGGATTAATACAAAATGGCATCTTTATTTAGATGAGTCTTTTATTAAACAGGAGCAAACGGAGTAAAACACGCTGGAATGGCTTTTTCTCCAGCTTCCATTAGGGAAGTCGGGCTGATTATTATGTCTGCACTGTGGCGCCTTCCAGAAGAAATATGAACTAGAAATGACAGCCATGTCTTTGCCTTACCCTTAGCAACTGACAGAAGTGAAGCTGTTGCAGAAGACTCTCTTGCTGATAACTGTTTCCCAGTGTATTTCTCAATGTGACAGTATTGTTCTGAATGATGAACAATTCATTTGGATTTGGAGACACTTGGAAGCAGTGATAATGTGTGTTTTATTTTTATTTTTTGTTTTTATTTTTTTTTGAGACAGAGTTTTGCTCTTGTTACCCAGGCTGGAGTGCAATGGTGCGATCTCGGCTCACCGCAACCTCCGCCTCCTGGGTTCAGGCAATTCTCCTGCCTCAGCCTCCTGAGTAGCTGGGATTACAGGCACGCACCACCGTGCCCAGCTAATTTTTTTTTTGTAGTTTTAGTAGAGACGGGGTTTCACCATGTTGACCAGGATGGTCTCGATCTCTCGACCTTGTGATCCACCCACCTCAGCCTCCCAAAGTGCTGGGATTACAGGCTTGAGCCACCGCGCCCGGCCGTGTGTTTTCAAAACAAAGCGAAAACAATACAGTTAGGGATCATGAGGTCTAATCCCATTTTTTTAAATTTTAAGTCAGAGCCTTGATGTCACCCAGGGTGCAGTGGAGTGGTGCCATCTTGGCTCACTGCAATCTCTGCTTCCCAGGTTCAAGTGATCCTCCCACCTCAGCCTCCTGAGTAGCTGGAACCACAGGTGCACACCACCACACTGGCTAATTTTTCTATTTCTTATAGAGACAGGGTTTCTCTATGTTGGCCAGGCTGGTCTTGAATTCCTGGGCTCAAGTGATCCCCCTGCCTTGGTCCCCCAGAGTGCTGGGATTACAGGGGTAAGCCACTGCGCCCGGCCAAATCTTCTAAATTGAGGCATCTGAGTCCCAGAGGGTCACAAATGACGTGTGCTGGTTTCACTGAGTGCCTGGGCTGCGGCTGGGCCCTGAGGCTTTGATTCCTGGCCCAGCCTTCTTTCCTTTGGGTATAGATTTAGCAGCACTCTGGTTTGACCCAGACAGACATTCTTGTTTCGTTATACCTAGTGATCTGTCTTGTTAAAACTTGATTCTAAGCTCATGTCTTACTCTCTGTTCTAATTGTGTTAACGGGTGTGTGTGCCTTGTCATGCGTGGTGCTCCGTCATCTAGGGAGGAGGAGCATCCTAGAATGAGAGAAAGTATCACAAACGAGAATGAACATGGCCGGGTGCAGTGGCTCACACCTGTAATCCCAGCACTTTGGAAGTCCAAGGTGGGCGGATTGCCTGAGCTCAAGAGTTCAAGACCAGCCTGGGCAACATGGTGAAACCCTATGTCTACTAAAATACAAAGAATTAGCGGGGCATGGAGGTGTGTGCCTGTAGTCCCAGCAACTTGGGAGGCTGAGGCAGGAGAATTGCTTAAACCGAGGAGGTGGAGGTTGCAG